CGGAGACGAGCGCACTAACCATGAGGCCACCGCACCTCCCCTAGACCACATACACAGTATAAATTATATCAGACATAGTCTCATGGTCTCTTGACAATAACCACCTGTATGAGGCCTTCCAAAGGGTAAAAGCGACAAGCGACACAACCCCGAAACCCAGCGACATGGGAAATTTTAAGCAGCAACAAGCAAATCGAATGTGCAGTTAAAATTCGACAGCGACACAGAGAAACACTGGAAAAGAGAGCAACATTGACCTGTTTGGACTTTTTGCCTATTTCGAAATTGTATTCTTCTGCAATGTCTGGTAAATGTCAGAAACTTGTCTGCTTTTCCACTGAATAAACTGTAAAAAAATTAACCTTGTAGCGACAATGACATATGACTTCATCCCCAAGAAATTACTTCCGCTGGTTAGGTGGCATCGGTAAATGAAAGGATGCAACATTGGAACACGGCTACCACCCTTGGAAGGCCTCCTGTACACTAGAAAGGAACAATGCCATCCTTAATGTACCACAGTTTTCAACTCTTGGGGTCTTAAACTAATTCTTGAAAGTGAACAAATCTATAAATACGCACGTGCACAGTTTACAGTAGCTTTTTATCCACTGATGAAGAGGCAGCAGCCTCTAAACGTATGGATGTTCACGTACTTTTCGTGCAATAATGAATATTTACTAAGTTTCTTTATCTAACAAACTCTGCGCAACACAGCTTTCTTCTTGTTTTAAGTCTATAATGTGTTGTTCCTGGACATACCCATACCTGATACCCTGTCTCTGGTTTGGACTCCCCCCCATCCCCTTAGAAATTCTAGTTTTTAACCATACTTTCCATTAAATATTTTCGCATTTGAAACCCCCTCCTCCTTGGAATTTCCAATAACCCCTCTTAGGGTGGGTATGGATATTTTCTGGAACCACCAAGTAAAACAGAACATCTTTTTGATATTTCAAAATACAGCACATTCTGCTTTATGCTTCTGTCAATCACTGGCAAATGACATTTGTGCCAAATGGCAGCCAGCATAATTTTTTATTTTATTTCACCAAACACATCCCACATGTTTGGTGTTTGAATATTAGGCCACAAATTGAAAGGTTGGGTGGAAAAAGGGTATTAGCGATTTTTGCCCAAATTGAACATTGCTAAAACAGCTCCAAATTTCGCATGTGGGTATGTTTTGGTGTGTTACTTAAGCAATGTCCTGTATTTTTTTTTTGGGGTGGATTTTGCTTTGTTTTTGAGATACAAAATACGCAAAAACATTAGTTTACTTAGCAGCATCGAATGCAAACAGAAGAAACTATTTGTTTTGCTGAACAATGTTGGTAGTTTAAGACACAAAGTTATTTTAACTTAAAAGTTGATATGTTTTTGTATCATTTTGTGAGATATAATGTGCAATGTTATTATTTTATGCCAGGCCTTAGTTAAGCGTACATCAAGTAGTGGGGCAGAAAGTCAAAGTGCTGTTCCACCATCACCCTTTGCTACAGGAGAGATGGACGAAGGACAGGATGACACAGAAGGATCCTCAGCTGGTAAACTATCATCATTAGCAGGTGGAACGAGTTCTTCAGCTTCAGCAGCTGGGTTAGCAGGGTCAAGTGGCACTGGAAATGGAGGAGGATTAGAGGACACAGGAGCACTTACATCAAAGTCTGTGGAAGCCTTGGCAAAGCAACTGGAGGTAATAGGACTGCTAGTTCTTGTCAAATGAAGGTCTCCATGTAGGTATCCTGTGCTGGGTTAAAGTAACTCAGTTTTGCAGACACTGGAAGTGTCAGCTATTAAAATGCACAGCTGGGATTAACTAACCTTGACAATTTGTTTACTGAGTGAAAGTGAGCTTCTTAGCTTTAAATCTTACCTTTCTTCCAAAAACTGATCATTACACTGTATGTTAAGAGTTGATGTTGTCATGAATGTGATGTACATGTATCAGTAAACCAAGCAATAACCTGTTTAATAAAATTTGTCTTTTTACATTCATATGTCACTATTAAATGTTTGGTACAATCCATGTTTGACAGAAACACAAGCTGCAGTTGGTGAGTCAATTGGAGAAGTCATCAGTGATAACAACAACCCTCGATCTTCTTCAGTGGTTGATGGGGCCTGATGCTGGAGGACCCAGTAGTGTTGGCATGGGAGTATCTAAAGCTATCAAGGATGCTTTGACTGAACTACATGTGTCGGAGAAAATTGTGGAAAACACAGATCAGCTTCTGGTAAGTTTACAACTAGTGCATGTGTCCCACTTTAAGTATTTTTAAGTATCTTTTTGTTCTTTTGTTTTTTTGTGTTTTTGTTAGAATTTATTAAATAATATTTAGGC